TCTAGAAAAATATTAATAGGTGATGATAGATGATGATGGTCACTGTTGAATCTTTTTTTCTGACAGAACACTGCCAACAACATTGATTTGTTTACATAATGCTAGCTTGCTGGCTAAAGTCACCATTGGATTTTGCAAACCTGGTAGATGTTAAGAGAGCAGCTGCAGTTAACCTCTAACATTCACGTCTTTTTTAGGATGTTTTCCTGTACAAGAGGAAAAGCTTGTAACAGAGGCATTGTGAGGCCAAAATGCATCTATAAGATTTGATTGGGACAGCAACAGCTAACCATTTCTGAAAACGTGCTTGTTCCATGCGGCTAAAGCACAACCAGACTCCAACTTTAATCCTGAACAGGTTTTTGGCACTTACCAATTTTTAGGACTAACAACCAGTGTTTTGACACGTTTGTTCCCAGCAGCTGGGATTGGCTCCCTTTACTAAAGGTCATCAGGTCTCTGACACAACCAAAAATCTTAATTAAATCTTTCACAGATTTGAGCTTTAGCACAGAAATCAGTCTTCAACCTGTAGTGAAAAAAAACTGTCTTATTATTTGCACTTGATATTGAAATGTTTGTTTTAAAAACAGCACAAATTGTAGATCGCTGCTAAAACTAGCCACACCTGTGAGCGTTATTTGGGGATTGTGCTCATGTACCTCATCACCCAGCTAAAATCTTTAAATCTGGCCCATATGGGTCATCCAAAGAGTACAGAAAGTAAATGAAAACACGCACTTGAAGGTGGAAGTCATTGATAAGTGTAAAATGGGAAACTTTGACTCATCATTAGGTCAGTCTCTTCTTGAAGGCTTTGTCTTGACCTGTTTGTACACTCAAAAAAACATTAATTGTATAGTGATGAGGACTTTTTTTGCAGCTGTTGAAATGAAAGTTAGAGCTCTGTCCCCAGATGGGCTTTAAAATAACTGCATGGATTTAATCGAAGACGGCTGTGAGCTGCTACAGTTGCAGTTCTAGGAGTCGTTTGGAACACAAAAACTAAGAACAAGTTCTTCTTTCACCAAATGATTGTTTCCCATTTCAAAGACAGGATGACACAGGATACTAGTTTAAATCCCAACAGCAGCCACACTGACAGCACATTGTCATCAGACTAACAGACAAGCCAGTTTTTGATCTGCACATTTGGTGTAGCAGGTTCCCTCCGAGGTTCATGACTGCTTGCAAAATAACTGGAACTCATTTCATACTTGTTTGCAT